GATGACATCAGACTGCTCTTCCAGTCAACAACAACCTGCTCAGGTTACCTCCTCTAAGTGCGGTGAGGAGCGCTCATCTGCTGACAGCCTACTGCTCCCCTGCATCACTCTGCAGCAGTGCTCGCAGGGAGCACAGAGACTCTCTCTGCAGCCCGTACACAAGAAAACAACTCTGTCTCGACAGCTGAGGCTCTCTGCTCATGCTAATATTGTGATCTGCTCCAAAAATAGCCTCACATATAATTCCTGCAACAACTATGATATGGCCTATTCAAATCCCCTGTCAGTGCCGGGGGAGTGTAAACAGAAAGCATGTTTCCTTTGCTAAACTTTTTCAAAAAGGTTTATAATAGAATAATTTCCGAGGGATAATACAGGGGCAGCACTGAAAGGAAAACTGGATGTAAGGAAGTGCAGCTGAACCAAACAGCAAACACACACTAGAATAAACTGTGAACACATTCTGAGAAGGGCATCTTATTAAAATGACAAAAATGCACCTACTCTGTTATCCATTAACATGGCAACTACTTCTGAGGATATAAGGTGGAAGCAGACAGCAGCCTGCAGTAGCACACTCCAGCTATAATAATTTAGAAACCCCTGAATGTCATCATAAACTTAATAAACATTTAGCTACCAGGAATAAACTAACAGACCTCACGCATAACACAGGACTGCTGATCACAGCTCAGCAGCTGCTCTGACACTACAGCAGCAATGACCACAGCAGTCTATAGGAAAACTGTGGCTTGTGAAATAGGCTAATATACAACAGCTGACAAAAAGGTCAAAACCAGATATTAGGATGTGCCAAAATGTAGTGTAGAATTCCACAATTGTGAGAAGCCGCTGCAACATGAGCATGCAATACAGGTCAAACCCATTATCTGCAGGCCTGTAGTGTAGTCACTTGGTAATTCTGGGACGAGTCGTGGAGACAAAAGAACGGCGCCAGGTGCCTGACGGTGCGCTGCTCGTGTCGTTTCCCAACATCACGTTCACCCGTCCTCTCCGCATCGTGCAAAGCAAACATACACCGTCCACTCACCCAATACACCGGAGGAGGTTTGTGGCGGGGCAGCGCCCGGCTCCGGCCTCTCCGCATCTCCCTGCGGCTCCGGCGGTGGTCGCGCCACTGCCGGCCGCTGCCGAACCCGTGTCGGGCATGCTCTCTATCAGCGAGGAGCGACGGAAGATGAAGATGTTCTCCGGGAAAATATGCAGTGGTATCGCATCTCAGGTGGAGGGCAAAGCGCGGGGATAGTGCGAGGGTTAAATGAGTGTGAAAGTGAAATGAAGGTTGTCGGTGTCGGTGCAACAGCGGATCATCCTGGTGATACTCTAGAGCAGGATACGCGGCTAGATGGAGAGCGCTCCTCCGAAGACTATAGAGGAGGGACAAAGACGGGGAGGGCGAGGGGCGTGCGCACACACACACACACACACACACACAGTTGTACTATCTATCTTTGTGAAGACACTCATTGACATATGCAGTCCCTGGTCCCTTACCCTAATACTTAACCATCAGAACTAAATGCCTAACACTAAACCTCATTCTAACCCTAAAACCAAGGCTCAATCCCCCAAAAGGTGTTCCAGAAAGTGAAGATCATCCAAAATGCCCTCACGTTTCAAATATTTTCTCACTCTGTAGCAAATATATATATATTTGTATAGTTACTCACCAAGTAGCAAGTACAAGAACACCCATACAGCACAGATCCTAGCTGCCTAATAGTTTTATTAGGATTTAATTTATGTACGTCAGGATATATTTATTACCCTACAGTGATCTCTGGCACCAGTCTTCAAATAGAAGCCAAAAATGGAATCTGCCTGGTTAAATAAAAATAAAGCCTTTCTTATGCCTATAACATTACGGACCTTTATAGTGATCACAGAAATGCTAGGTGCTGTGCTCTTCTTCATTTATCATAGAGATTAACAGTATAGTAGCCTATGCACCTACCTTTTTTATTTTAAAACACATATCCATTCAGCATCAGGTGTATCGGGGAGGCTTCTGCAGTCCAGCAGGTAGACTCAGCGAGTGTGACTGCACCACATCCTGTCCACAAAGATTAAATAGACTATGACTTATTTATTAATGCAATATATATCTTCATAGATTAATATTTCTGTGACATTCAGGTCAAGGGACAAATAGCCTCTTCGCAGCCCACCAGACACTCCAGCTACACACTGTATATGCAGCAGCTGTGTAATATCCCTGTAATACCATTTACATCTTCAAGCTATAAACATGAAGACCTACTTTACAGGATAAGTTGTAAAATGGGCAAACAGTATTAGACCTATGCCAAAGTAAATCCACACCTGTAAGTCCTAAAAGAGTGCAGTTTTACAGCCACCTGAGATGTTGTTATACTGTGTGAGATGTGTGTTGTGTGTGTGTGTGTGTGTGTGTGTGTGTGCGTGTGTGCGTGCCAGTGCGTGGCCTGGTATTACTCCTGTTGCAACAGTATTAGCTTATTATTTTTAAGTACAGCACTGTACTGTTAATATAAAAGAAGATCTGTTAAATTACAGCACACTGACCATTTTTCCACAAAATTATAACATATTCCTAAATTACATCACTTTACTATTAATCAAATGTCCAAAGTCTCTTAAGTGCGGCTACATTTAAAGATGGTGAACTTTATCAATCTCATTCTTCTCATATAGTATTTATCAAAACAACAGCCTTGCTCTCACCTTGTATTCTTTTTTGCAATTAAAGATATTTTGGAACTCATCTCTAATATCTCTATTTCTCTCTCTCTCTCTCTCTCTCTCTCTCTCTCTCTCTCTCAGACACACAGTCAGAGGGCTACCAAGGCTGGACTGAAAGAAGTAACGTGGGTGGGCCAGCTTTGGTCTGAGATTTTGAGAATACTGACAACTAGTAAGATCCATTACAGCATTTTTCTTGACAGAAGTGCCTTTAATTGTATGTAGTGTGACTATTCCTATATGTATAACCTGCTAATATTAATTTAAGGTTTTTAAAAAGCTTTATTTGTGCATTTAAACAAATCAGTCACCTGTAAGACACTAAAAACAGCTATATAATGTATTTTATACAAGTCAGTTAACTGTAAAATGCTATGAAAAAAGTGTATACTGTATTTTTCATTAACAGTGCAAAATTACAAATTTTAGTAACAGTAAAATTATTCTTATGAAGCACAATAATTTTACAGTAAGATAATGGGAACCCTGCTGCGAGTTGATTAATGTTTTTTTAGGGGAAAGTTTTAACTGTGGTTATTGGTCTGTTTGCTCAGAAGAGATGAGGATAATTACAGCATGTATTGACTGTGCTCAGCAGCTGTGAGGTGACAGCTGTCTGTACTGTACACACACAGAAGTGTATAGCCTATAAATTATTAAATTTTCAGGTTAGGGCTCGTTCCCCGTGACCCAGGATATGCCTCTTCACATGCAATTTATGGTATCTGCTTGCCTAGCCCTTTTGGATTTTGTGTTTTACTGTGCAGCCACGTAGGCAGGCAGTGAGGTGTCCTCCTTCATGTGGTTCAAAGCTAAGAAGCACCTCATCTGCGAGTATAAATTCTGCTTACTCACCACCCTCTGGGTTGTCAGTTGCAAGGAGCTGCCGTGGGCACAGACATCGGTGCACATGTAGCCTATACTCTGTTTCTATTCTGACTGATATGCAGGATGTATGTGTGTAAAGCACAAGGCACTACAGGCTATATCACCAATATTTTAGTCAAACACAATAAAAATTGTCATAATTTAACTTTTTGAAATGTACCATTAGTAGTGCTAGTGTAAAAAAATCAGTTAACACAGACAGGACACTCAGTTGCATGTATGGGAAAACCTAATTAAAACTAATTTCACAGCTTCCTTACATTGATTTGCATGAGAGAAAAGTTTGCATTTGAAGAAGCATAATTTTTGTCATGATCTCTGTCACGGTTTTCCCAACCAATCTACTTTTTTGTAATGCTTTGGCAATAAAATGATCAGATATGGTAGGAAGAAACTGAGCTCTGTCCTGCATTATACACTGCTAGGCCACATTAAAAGTCACACTTGTATAATTGTATGCACTTCAATGTAACACTCAACATCTGTGTTTATGGAGCGCAAAATGTGTCAGTTTTTGGTGAAATTGTCATAAATGTTTAAAATCTATCATATTATTATTATTGAGGTCATAGTTAAAGGTGGTGTTGTACTGGACTACATTATGTTCAGAGGTTTTCCTAATATAAATAAAACAAAGAGTTACTGTTACATTCAATTTACTGCCTGTTTATACTGCTTATTCTTTTTATTTTGCATTGTTTGCACTGTTTGTTGCTTGTTAATACTGCTTATTTTGTTATATTACACAGCCGTATGCTGGTTTACTGTTTACTTGCCCCTTGCATGGGGATATGTACATACACATTGAGAGCCGATGTACCAGAGTCAAATTCCTCGTGTGTCCAGCACACCTGGCCAATAAAGCAGATTCTGATTCGGATTCTGAATTTCATTTGTGCAACAGAATGACCACTATTTTTGAAAAATATATTCCTCTATAATCTACCTTAAACCTAAAATAAATGCACAACTGATTCTAACTCCAAATAGTTAAAGACAAAGATCCATAGAAACAAGAAATATAAATTTTATGGCTTATCATATAAAAACTGAAATGCACTAGATCCAGTGATTAACATTTTTCCTTGTAAAAATTGCAATACGTTTATAACTGACAATTAATCGATTATCACAATTATTCATGACGGACTAATCAACTAATAGTTTCAGCTGTAATAGATCGATGAAAAACAACCGGAAAGTTAGTGACGTAGGTCGGTTGTGAAGGGCAAGGGTTGTCACACGGATCGAATTGAACGACACACAGTAGGCGGGTCTTAGTCCAGATTGACAGGTTGCAAACAAATGGGATTCCAGAAACTGCTACTAATATGGAATTTGTTAACCAATCATAATCAGCCGGGAGAAAAAAAAAGTAAATATGAACAGTGTGTTGTGAGTGAGATGTTTCAGGAGTTGAAGTAATTTTCGTCTGTTTACCAACTAATAACACCTACACAAGTTACTCTGCCATTAGCGTTCAGGGAGAAAATGTAAATAAAATGCTTTTGTCGAGGACAGAGCGTGTTCTGCATTGTCAGTGTCAATCTCCAAAATCAGCCTCACGAGAAACAGCCGGTTTAGTGTAAGTGATGCTACCATCTGTCCATCGTGGGATATTGAAAGCTGCTGTCCACACACTTAGGACAAGGTTTGCTGCAAAATTTTAACTTCCATTTCTGTTTTTATTTATTGGTAGAACTAATTCAAAAAACGCATTCCCACAAATGCCTTTTCCTTGTAGTAGGCTAAATACAGTATATACACAACAGCGAAACTGTGCTATTTAAATTGATTCAGAACAATGTCATATATGTAAGTCTACATACTGTGGATGTCCCAAACACCAGACCTTTAAAAGCAGTTAAATAAATAATCAGCTAAGTCAAATAACAGCCTACTCTGTATAGGACAACACACTAGGCTATATTGTACAGTGTAATATATAATCAGAGGTTATATTGTGCCTTATCATTTTCTTGTTCCCAGCAGAGGAGCTCCACTTAACAGAGTCATGTCCATCTGTGATGGAGTCCCTGTTGGACTGGCTGATGCTGAGACCATTTTTGCATTGTCATCAGGCCATGGCCGGTGTGGGGTGGCTGTGGTACGGGTCAGTGGTCCGGCATCAGCTACAGCACTGAGGAGTATGGCCGGGCTCACACGCAGCCTGCCTCCTCCACGCACTGCTCTGTTACGCAGCATCACAGAACCCCAGTCTAAAGAAGTGCTGGACCGTGGACTTGTGCTCTGGTTCCCAGGTACCCAAAAACAAACAATTTTGCCTTGCTGCTGTTTCAACTTACTAACCTATAAGCTAGAACTGTTCTGTGTTATCTCATCACAGTATTGGGTTTTTGTAAATATTTGAAGTTCATTCTGTGTTATCCCCTTGTAGTAGACCATTTTAAATGAAAGTATTTCTAGCATTTGCCCTTTGTACATGTGTCAGTAACTTGTGTTCATGTTATCAGCTCCTCACAGTTTCACGGGAGAGGACAGTGTGGAGTTCCACATCCACGGTGGACCTGCTGTCATTACTGCTGTCTTGCAGGCTCTAGGTAACATATAGATGTTATAATATAGTGTTAAATCTTGATATAATGCCGTATAAAACACACATGCAGTGTCACGTGCTGCACCATCATTTTGCAGGGTGTTTATGGTATGTTTGTCTTCATAGCTTTGACTCCCCAAAGTCAAAGCCTTCATCAAAATTTTGAACACAGTATCTGGTCAAGTCATTTTACTATCCATCATTGTGGCTTAGAAGAGAAAACCTACACATGCATTCTTATTCCTGTGATACTGCTTATAATGTGTATGCCGACCTCAGTCACACGTGAAGACAGGTGTTTCTTTTCACTGATGTTTAATGTGGTTTTCCTTTATGCCTAACACCAAACACCGTAGAACTAACAAACAAGGTAAATACAACGGAAATAAACAACCGCGTCACTTCACATCACATAGACATGGTGCAACAATAAATTCATAAACAAAAATGAGACCTACCACTTTGGCTTGCTTGTGAGCAAAGGCTGGTAGTAAAACTCAAACATAAACTTCTTAAATTAATGTATTAAGTGTCCTTTTCTCTGCTGCTAGTCTTCTCTCTCGTCGAAGGACCGGAAGTAGCACAGCGGGAACAGTAGTTCCAACAAAATAAAACTTATGGGACTAATTGTATTCAAAACAAAACTATATCAATATACAAAAACAAATACCATTCATAATGTTGCATAGGAAATACAGAACACATAAACAATATGTGCAACTGCATAAACCTATCCGCTGCATAACAATGACCTTCACAGGATACACAGAAAACTGCACAGACTCCACAACAGCAGCTACAATGTGCCTTTGCAAGTGTATCTTCTGTGACTTACAGGTAATATTTTTACTGCAGTTCGGCCTTTGGCCATATAGAGGGAAGCATTGTATAAAGCAAAAAGGGGCACAATAGCTTGTTACCAGTTAATGTAAGATTATCACTAATTAGAAATGGGTGAATATTTGTTCCCATATGTTTTTTAAACTAAAAGAAGGATTTTGACAGTGTTGGTGAGATTGTAACCAGCCAGTAAAATAGATAATGTATATTTTGCTAACATAAACTACTTTAACAGATCATGGCTTTTTTCCCAGATGGTTTCCATGCTCACTATTGTTTGATCCTGATGAGAATTAAAATGATTGAGAAAACAATGGACATGTAACCTCTTTAACCTGCACAGTTGTGCCTGTTTCCACTGCAAAGGACCCCCAAGTGACACAATCATCTTGTTTTTGATCCTCGTCTGTTTGCATGTGTGTGCTTTGTGTACGTTATGCGTGCCCTCCTTGTGCCTCATGTTTGTATGCTGTGTTGTGTGTGTGTTTCTCAGGAAGCATGCCTGGCATGAGGCCTGCTGAAGCTGGGGAGTTCACGCGGAGGGCCTTTCAAGCAGAGAAGCTAGGTTTAACAGAGGTAGGTCATGAATCAGATCCGCGAAGATTTGTGAACTAAGAGTTTTAATTATACATGGTAAATATGGAATAAACAGGATCAGAAATTAACTGGGATTTCAAGTTAATGAAATACCCTTTTACATTCCCCTTTTACACCCCTTTGCACATTTTTGTCATTGGTTTGTCAAACTTATATGCATGAATGCAGCTCCAGGGCTCCTGTAGATCTTTTTTCCCCACACTGCAGCCTTAAGCATTAGTCATGGACTGTTTGGAGTACATTTTAGCAGTAAATACACTAAAATGACCATGTATTTATCAACAGGCAAATGTGTTTTTACAATTCAGTAAAATGAAAGAACATTAAACATTATAGACTGATATAATCCATTCTGCAAATAAGACAAACACGTGAATGGCAAAAATGTTTGAGTCGTACAGCTACTTGGGATTATTTGGTTGCAATGAAAGGATATTTGAATATAGATGTTAGTGTATAATAAAGTAAGGTGCAGTCAGTGCTTCAGTTGTATTGTAGTAACTTTAATGATGCTCTTTGAAGGTAGAAGGGCTTGGGGATCTGATCCATGCAGAGACCGAGGCCCAGCGGAGGCAGGCTCTCAGGCAGATGTCAGGAGACCTGGGTCGCCTTTATCAGGACTGGAGCCACAAACTGAAACGGGTAGGTTGACCAGTAGCACAGAGACCTGTGGTGGCACCAGGCAGTCAGACATGCACAGAGACCAGTGTTTTTCAGCCGGATCGTTTTGTGTAATGTTATGGGGTCAGATTTGAAGCTGTTACTTGAGTCTGGTCTCAAATCAGATCACTTGCACTTTTCTTAAATGTTATCTCTGATGCTATACAGTGCAAGGTGTAAGATAAGTTGAATGTTAGAAGAATGTACATTTCCGCTTCTCAAACACTCTGCTTGTGTTTTCATCATGACCTGGAAACACTTGATTTACTCTGGTCTTCTTCCAAGCACAACATTTGGTCTTGACCACTGTTGGACTCAAGCTGGGATAGATGTTGTCTTTGAAGTGATAGGTGAACAAAAACCATGATCATGGTTTGAAAAGCCATCTTCTGTCCAATTTTCTATTAGCTTGACAGTAGGAACAAGCCAGCCTCCTGCAGGTCTCCCTGAAGAGACTTTATTCATATTCATGTTTAATATCTCTCAGAAGACAGAGTTTTGGAAACAGCCAGTCTTGTGCTGTGCTGCAGGTCTAGCCTCAGTAGTTTCACTCTCAAGCAATGCGTTCTTTTGCACTGCACCATTGACGGATTGACTTAGGGGAATTTTAGGCTTCCTGTTTTCATGCTGCTGTAGATGTTATAGGCGTTTTTTTCTTTTTTTTTTTTTCCCATGACTGAGAACCAAAAAAATGAACAAGCAGTAAATAATGAATAAATAAAACAGAACAAGAAAATGCAGTTGCATCAAAAGAAGAAAGAGAATGAATAGCATTTAGTTTGACTCTGAAAAGGGAAGCTCATTTTGGATTTAAGAGGCAGAATGGATCCGGTTGGTGACCTCTGGGCAGCACCTCTGCAACTCTCTTTAGAAAGGTTTTCTCACTACAAACAAGTGTTCTGTGTAATTCTTTACCGTCTTGGCATCAGAACTGAGTCACTACTGCTGTGAGACCTTGTTGAGCTGTTAATTTGGACTTTCCTGAGGAAAGCCACTAGAAAGCAATCTCAGTCGCAACTGTTTGTTTTGAACAGGAAGTTTTACAAAGCTCTCCTCTATTGTAGTGTCCTGCTGTTCCACTGTCACTAAAGAGACACCCATTTAATGTTTTTTTCCCCACCTCTGAGCATCTGGTTTTGCATTGTTTTAGATGAATTAAAGATAAATTCTACCAAGCTGCAATATATCAGTCAACTAAGACATGCAACACAATCAGCACATTGATATATTCTGTATAGCGGTATTGTTTTTGTTATCTATACAAAATCCTGTATACTGTACATATAGTTGTCAGAAAGTTGATTCAGTCTTGATGTTAAGATAAATTAGAGTGGAGGAAGAATGCATGCGACTGTAAAATTCACCCTTGGAGTTTATCGTCTTTCTGCTACTACATGGATTTTTCTGAGGAAGAGAATAGCAGTGTTTCTGCTTTGCAGCCATTTTGATTATGTTATCCCTTATTTACAACAAATGCTTACAGAGGTTGACTTTTTTTGTCCAATTGTGTTGAGATGGTTCAGAGCAGTAGGTCATTGACCACAGGTGAATATTTCAGCTCAGTGGATGTAAACCAAATCCTTAATGTGAAGTGCTCTGGAGAATGTACAGCAGTGATCCTGCAACACACTGGCATGAGATCTAATCAGCCAGTCCAGGTGCTCTCCCTTGAGAAACTCTGTTCAGCTGCTTGTCAGCAGCTTTCTTAGAACAGTTCCTAGAATCAATTTAAATGTGCCTTTATTTTGTATTTAGATTTCTGGGAACCCAGTTAATCAGAGGTGTATCATCTATGTGATGCTAGGGGTCAAACCCCCAGTTAACACTCAAACAATGCCGTTTTATTGACCGTTGGCTTCCCACTTTTGTGAATGGATTTAAGTATGGGAATGTGATGCTTCCTGTTTTTGAACAGCTCTGCTGTTATTATTTTTATTTTCCACAATGTCAGGCTCAACACTGATTGGTGCTGTGGTGGAAACACTGAAGCTTAACATCAGATGAAGCAATTTGAAATTGGATTGTATTGTCTAATGTTGACATACACTAGATACATATGCACTGTAAAATATTTGGGTGAACACTGATAAAAAGAAAAACCAAAGCCTGAAGACCATAACAGAAAAGATCAACTTCAGACAGTGTGTGAAATACCTCATCACTAATATGGGCTCTAATGCCGTGTTTAGTAAACCACCTCCAAAACAAAGCAGACCTGTGTCAAATGATAGATAAGTTGTAATGTACAATTACCCACCTGAAACATCCCACAGTATGTGTCTTGAAATAAGAGGACATGTTAGTGAAAATACTATAAAATAAGTTTAAAACCATGAAGAATTATATTTGACTAAAAGTGAAGGTGTAGTCAGTCATTTTTATTTATGCTTTTACTTGTTTGTTAGTGATATTAGGGACTTTTTCCTTATGCTTTTGATTGGTTTATGTGCTTGAATGTTAAATGAATAAGTTTACCTATATTTAAGTATTACTAGTGGCACATTAATATTGCATATGCATGTTAGCAGCTATAAGACTAACAAGATATATGATACTTTTGCTGATGACTGTTACGTTTTCTGTGCTGCTTACCTTTAAACATTTCAACACAAAGAGAAAATAATTTGCTCAATATTTGAGGTCCCTCGAAACATTTGATTTTGGTGTTTTTGAGGTCTACTGTGTTGATTAAGTGGTCTGCAAACTGATTCCATCTCTCCTTCCTGTTTTTCCTGCCTTACAGTGTCTGGCTCATGTCGAGGCCTTCATCGACTTTAGTGAGGATGAACTCATTGAGGACGGGGTCTTAACCCAAGGTTTGTATGCACTTTGTCCTCTGTGCTGGAGAAAAATAACAAGGCAGTCATTCCTGGGTCTTTACAGGGAGATGAGGGGGTACTGAGGGCCCTGTTCCTCCCTAAAGAGAGAGGATCCTGGCTGGCTTTCCTGTTTGGATCTTCAGCTGGCCATCGTGTTAGATTTCTGCACTGCAGGTAGAAGCCATATACATCACACTGCTCAGAAAACAGCTTCCTTTAAGGAAGTGAGGAGAGGAGGCCACAGGGGCAGTAGAGCCATTCCTCTTGCCTTTCAAGGTGTCCGGCAATTTCACTCACAGGAATAGTGCTGTCAGCAGCGCTTTCTACAGCCTAACTGTTGTGCCCAGGTTTCTCATGCTCTCAGTGCATGTCAGGGTGACTCTGTACGTGTGGGTGTGCACGTGTGTGAGGGATGCCCCCTCCTCGAGTCTGCTACTGGCAGAGCTGTGTCAGAAAGCCTCAGATGTGGTGAAGGTGGGACACAATAAAGCCTGGGAACTAGTGTTTGTTTTGGTGGCACAGAATGTTGGCTCCTGCCTCAGAGCTGCAAATAATTGTAGACTGAGGTCCAAAATTAGAAAACCTGGCATTAATATTTCATTATCTGTCAGTTTCTTTCTCTCTGTCAGATAGGAGCTTTAAGAAGTTGAATTTATTCACTTTAAGAACAATGACTTATTGTTAATGCCTTTTATTGTCAAAAGCATTTTTTCGCTTTAGTCATATGCAGAAAGAGAGAGGTCCATGACCCATTTTTGGTCTAGACAAAGTGTGTCACACACCTTCAAAGGACAGAAATTCCTTTTACAAGGCCATTAAATTGAACATGAAACCTTCTTCACATCCTGTTCCCTTCTGTCCTCTGTCTTTCTCTCCCTCTCACTGCCCAACAGTGGACAAGTCGGTGTGTGATTTACAAGCAGACATAGAACGACACCTAAAGGATGAGAGGCGGGGCGAGCGGCTACGCAGCGGAGTCCAGGTGGTCATTGCAGGAGCTACCAATGCAGGGAAAAGCAGCCTCCTCAACACAATCTGTAAGAGAATTAAGAAAGCCTGCACATGCTGAAGGGATTCAGATTAAAATATGACTTCTGAATAGACTTTTCTGTTGAATATTACAGCTGGTGAAGGAAGAAACATTTGTCACATCATTAGCAGCATAGACTCAAAATTTTATGAAATGTGTATGATTCATTGAAATGCACAGAAACTGATAGGAACTGGAGCTTTCAATCTAAAGACACAATCTTCTTCAGCAGATGGAGTTCACCCAGTTATTGTGAAATGGTAAATGTTCAAGTTTCCATATATGTAAGCACTGTAGGGTTATAGGAGGGAAAACCCCAGCTGCTGAGCTTCTAATGGACCTTATGGCGAGATCTAAACTTCTGCTTCCAGGGCACTTTGTTTTCCTAAATGTTACTGTTACAGGAGTTTTTCACGTAAAAGACAGGAAGGTCAACTGCATCTGTCCACTTTGTTGTACAAATTATATTAATCTCTTCATAGTGCAGCAGTATAATTTAATAATGATATAATCATCTAGGCACACAATCAATATTTAGCTTTTTTCAATACTGATTCTGGCTGTGAACCAGATGGCATTAATATTACATTCACGGGGGCGACTATGCTTCAGTGGGTAGAGCAGTCGTCTCCCAACCGGAGGTTTGAATCTCTTTGCCTGCAGTCCACGTGTCAAAGTCAAGTTGCCCCTGATGGTTAGAGCCATTGGTTGAGTTGGCGCCGCAGATGGCTGCCTCGGTTCTGTACCGGAAACAAATTCCTTGTGTGTAACATACTTGGCCAATAAAGGTGATTATCCTTATCCTCATTCTGCAGTAAATTGAAACTGATAATTAGCAATGACGAGGTGAAGACATGCATACACAAACACTCAATATTGTCCACATATAATATTCTGGTGTTTCAATATTCATTGTAAATCAGTTCTACTCACATTTTAAGTTTAATTTCAATGTCAACCTAATGAAACCCTTGTTAATTAATGCATAAGGTTATGTTCGTTTATGCTGTTGCATCCTGAAAACCTTTTTGAATCAGTTTATAAAAGCTATCAAGAGTTGAGGTTTGCCAGGGGCTCATCACAGCTTCCTATCAGAATAATAGGTATATTCATCAAACTGTAGATAAAATCTCGTCATGCTTTCCTGGTCTGATTAGTCTTCCCTGTGGCCAGCGCTCACAGCCAGACAGCACAGACGAGTGATTATAAGCTAGCAGCATTATGTGACGTGGGTTACAGGAGGATGATGAACCCAGTTCCTGAATGAAGGAATAATGACTGGAAATTTCCCCTGTTGTGTTTGGATACTGCAGAACTTTAGTAGATATAGAGTTCACACATGCTTGTTAATGCGCTTTCAAGCAGTTTACACATCAGTGGTGGAAGAAGTGCACAGATCCCTTCCTTAAAGCTACAGTATGTCATTTCAAATAGCACAAGAATGAAATTCTAAATCAACCCACTTTGCTCCACTCGGGAAACCCTCTCCCAATAAATTAGTCACCATAACACTATTTACTCCTGTTTTTCTAATATTTGCAAAAAATCTACAATGTCCAATTGTTTAGGGAAATAATTTATCCTGTGACCTGTGACTTTTGCTTAATATTCACATTTTCAGTCAGAATGAATGGCCTTGGGATTGACACCGTACACTGGTTCTGAAGTCTAAGTTCTGAGACGTGGACTAACACACTGTTTGCTTTGGTCTTTTTATGAGATTGTTGACATAAAGAAAAACATAAAATAACACCAGTCTTATCCTTTAAACCTTTTTTAAACCAGGCCAGCGGCCAGCTGCTATTGTGTCTCCCATTGCTGGGACCACCAGGGATGTAGTGGAGACAGCCCTGGACATCGGTGGCTTCCCTGTCCTCTTAACTGACACAGCCGGCCTCAGAGACAGCCCAGACCTGGTGGAGAGAGAGGGGGTCCGCCGTGCACGGGAAAGGTAGGGAGGGGATGTAAAAAAAAAAAAAAAAAAAGCCCATACGATTTCATAATTTTTTTCCAAAATGTAGACACAGCAGATCTGATCGATGCCTACTGGCGGCCACAAAAGCTAATGTACTAAGCAGCCGGTACGGTCCAGATCACCCCAGAACACCAACAATCTTAAGAAATGAAAGCTGGCATTACAAGTGCTTGATTTGAGGATACAGGATAGCAGTACAGGACAATAGAACATGCAGAGTACAGTAACTGTTCACGTGTATATGATACAACACAGAACAAATGAGTCGGGGGAGTAATGGAATTTCTTCGTGAAAACAAAGAAAGGAAGGAATAAGTCGCAGTTTTCCCCTGCACACTGTGCAGTATTTTTGTCATGTCTATGTAACCTCCGCAGTTTATATTATTGCTGAGTCATGGATATAAATACATGGGACAAACACTCCGAGGAGTAAAAAATAAAATGCAACAACTGTAAAATTGAAACAGTTCTAACCTTAAAAAATGGCAATGCATTACGTATAGTAAATATTAATGTTTACCTGACACCGTGTGGTGATGACAGTTGGCTGAAAGACTTGCTGCAGTAAATATTCGGTGTAAATTATAGCGGTTTACAAAGACAACATGTCAAGTGTTTCCTAAAGTACTTGTGTTTTGGCAGGTGGAAAGAATATGACAAACCAATTAGGTGTTAAATAATTTCACTGAAACTATTATACTATATGACATTATATTTAATTTCAAAGATTTATTTATAAAAATATGACCTGTCAAGAGTGTTTGGAGACTCACAGGAGCATCAGATGTAAAAACATCAGTTAAAAGTCAGATGAAAAATTGATTACAAAATTTTCAAGGCAGAAATTCTGTCGTTCCTTTACTGCTTGTCAAGTTATCTGGGTGACTTTGCGGCTATAGGAAGGGTGGGCACTGTGTATCTTATAGGGAGCCTTCTGTGCAGGGAGCAGGTCAGAGGTTTGTGACCTAGGTCACTACAGGAAGGACGTGGTAAGTACAAG